ATGTGTTTGTGTGTTTGTGTGTGTGTGTGTGTGTGTGGAGAGAGAGGCAGCAGAGTGATTTCTCTCGCAGTTTTATTTTCAATATTGATATTCAGTCCGTGTATGCAAACCGTACCTAGTTACAGTAAAGAGAAAAGATGTACTTACCTCCGGTTTCGCACAGGTGATAGAACTTCCACAGTTTCTTCCCGCTTCACCTGCTTTCGGTTTAGTTGAGGGTTGGCAAGAGGGTGTGACCGGGCGCGCGATGGGGGCGCATTTACAATGGGCAACGTTACTTTCTCTGAGAAAGCCATATAAGTGTCAGGGCTCTGTGTGCGGGCAGGCGGAGAGGAGGATCCAAACGCAGGACTCAGACACTAACTTAAAACTCAAAAAACTCAGCTTTATTGCTGGTACGAAAACAAAACATGAAGTGAACATGGAATATGGAGAACCGAAACACACAGGCATAATCTGATGGTACGACGCGACATGGTGAAAAGGAACGCGATTTGTCCCGTACTTCAGCTAGACGGTAAAAAAAATAAAACATGGACACAAAGCTGGATTTATTCTGCGTCTTTACTCTGTCAGCTGTCTCTTCTTGTCCCATTCTCTCCGCCTCCCTCTCCTATTGCTACTTCAATCATGAAACTGATCAATGATCAGCTAATCGGCTTTTCTTTCGCAAGTCCAGTCTATCGTTTGTTTATCGCCCACTTTGCGCCAGAAAGAGGAAACCATCGGATGTCGACGTTTAAGCTTGATCAGCTTTTGTTAGAATTTATTTAATATTAATTTCTAGTATCAGCTGATGTTTGCTGGAGCCACAGCTGTAAACCTGCTGGTCATGATATGGTTTGGTTATCTGGTGAGAGGGAAACATGCAGATGAAACCAGGAGATGTCCTTACTGAATCATCAGAGCTGAACAGGTGACGGAGAAACAGGTTTACCTTTTAGGTGACATGAATTAGTTGAAGGGAAGTTATGAACTGTTTCTGAGAGACTAATAACACCAGGAGCCTTTTCTATGTAGCTGACAGCTGGTAACTGTGCAGGGGCGGATCTAGCAAAGTTCTGCCAAGGGGCCTGTCAGGGGTCGTGTGCGGAGGCGAGGAAGGGATGACCCACATGCAGGACTCCTGGTGCAGAACGAGGTTTATTGAATATGTAGACAACAGATGATAGACTGGCTGACTGACTGGACTGAACTGAACACACGACAGCAACAACATCATCAATGACACGACAGTGAATGGGTAGAAACAGAGGGCTTAAATACACAGACTGGTGATATGATAATGAGAGACCGGTGAGTACACAGCTGAACATAATGAACTACTGGGAAGAGGACTGAACATAATGCACACAGACCAAGGCTAACACAATAAAACAGGAAGTGAAACAGGCAGTAGATAAACAGTGAACATGAACTGAAAATACTGGGTCACCGACCCAGGAACCCTGACAGGGCCAGGTAGGGCATTAACAGGGAGAGGGGGGCACAAAAAAATACTTTTCTTTCTTATTCTCATTTAAAATGTCTGGCTTTTAATAAATAATTATCTGAATCCTACAACCAAAATGTTTATCTGATGTAAAATGTATAGAAATCATACATATATAACAACAAGACTGTACATCACTGTCACAACAGCGTTCGTTTTCATTCAAAGACTTTATGGCTCTTCCTATGATACCTGGTGGGCCAGTCACTAGTCAAAATGCCCGGGCTGATTTTTCTTGTCCCAGTCCAGCCCTGGACAAATGTATACTTTAGAGGTGAAGAAGCAAGCTCTCATGTTGTTGTTTCGGTTTCTATGTTAGGTAAATAAACAAAAGTTGTAATAAAACCAAATCCGACGTGACATCAGGACATGTATGTCCACTAGAGGGAGTTGTGTGCTGTAGTTGTGTGTGCAGGGGTTTAGTCTTTGTCCATAGCTTTTTGGGGGGAAAAAGTTGAATTGTCTTTTTTAAATAAGATGATAGAAATATTTGAGATTTGTTTCCAAGTGCTGTTTTATGCACATCGTTACAGATATTTGCTTCAATAAAAGAAAATATGCGCATCATCATCATCATCATAATAATAATAATGATAATAATTTATCTGAAAAATGAATTGACTTTGATGGTTATCTGTCTGGTTACCTTTACAAAATAACACACATGAGCAGATTAACATAATATATACGTTTGATGTGAAATATGTCACGTTTCTGTGTCTGATGTCAAACACAACAAATATGACAGGACAAAGGATAATATTTTAAAGAGTGTACTTTATTACTTCACTGTAAACACGATATTTCCATTTATTATTTATTCTTGTATAAATACAAAAATAAAGACTTATTCTATACTAACTTGCATAAACCAAGAAACAAACATAAATTATTGCAGAAATTCTGACTTTTTTCAGTGGTTGTGTACATTTTTTAAAAGCAGTACCTTATATTATAGTATAGTATTATTTACAACACTGAGAAAAACTAATAGATAATATCAAAATGAAAACTTCGCTATAAGGTTACATGTGAAACAATGTTCCAGTGCATCAGAGTATTATTTATCCATGTTGTTACAAGACGTCGGTTATATTATTTCAGCAGTATCTAATACAGTAATAGAAGACTAGAAAACACTTCCAGCAGAGTTATTATTATCCAGGGTCATCAATGCTGTTTAGGTGTAAAGCCTGTGTGTCTGAGTCCACCATGACATAAAACTCTCATCTTGTGTCTTGTAAATACACAGAGTTTACAACAAGGTGCAAACATGAGGTTACACTGAGGAACAAGAAGGTCAGATTAGACTTTGCCAGAAAACATCTAACAGACGCACAGTTCTCGAAAAATTATATTTCAAAAGATGAAACCAAGATTAACTTGTATCAGAACCATGGGAAGAGAAAATCAGGAGGAGAGAGCATGTGACCGATTTCACGACCACATTATCTGTGAAACATGGGGAGATAATGAGCCTCATTTACTAATATTTGCCTGGAAATATTTTTACCCTGTGCAGAAATCAAACGCAAAATCCCATTTGTGAAACGTGCATGCCAGCCTATTTTATTGTCACCACGGTGCATATGTTAGTAAATCAGAAGCATCCGGAACAAACATGCACATTTCCTCCCCCCCATTTCTCTGTGTACAAAACTATGTTTACGTCCAAGTGAAGCAGAGCACGTGGTGACGATGTTTTAAGAGAGAAGCCTGCACCTCTAAGACAAGAAATAAGGAGAAAGTTTAACTGTACAAAATGGAATAACAAATAACACACAAGTGATGATCTTTCAAAAATAATAAATAAGTAAATAAAAAGCAACACTTAGGCTGATTATCATTTCCCCTGAGACACAACAAAAAGTCTGAAAACTGGCTGCCAGTGTAACCCGACCACTGGTGTTGATTTAGATGTGACTGCTGATAGTAGCAGCAGGGGGGATTCTGAGGTGTACATGGATACATATTCAGCCAAATGCTGCAAAACTGACATGACGGACTTTTTGATGTAAATACATTTCTCAAGTGTGTTATCATGTTTCATTATCATCTGTCACTGTCCTGTCCTCTAGCTTTTGTTTCCTGTGACCCTCATGTTTAGTATAGATTTAGTATAGGGTCTCTGCTTCTGTTTCCTGTGTTCCCAGGTCTGTCTCGTTTCCATGTCTTAGTGTGTAGTCTGGATCATTGTGAACTGTCTCATGTTTTCTGTTTTACTTTGGCGAGTCTTGTGTCCTGTTTTCAGTGTTTTGCTTTCACGTTCTGTGCATATTTAGTGCGTTAACCTCTGTTCCTCGTCTGCATATCATCCCCTGTTCATCTTTTCCTGCATTCCTCTACCTGTGTTGCCAGTTTTCAGGTTTCCTCATTCTTTGTTTCAGGTTTCATGTTAGCTTCTCTCAGTGTAGGTTTTGTTAGTACCCCTCGCTAGTGACTGTTCCCCTCACTAGTTGCTTTTCAAGTGCTAATAAAGGCTCGTCTTCAATTTAAACATTCTCCTGCATCTATTTTGTCTGCGTTTGGGTCCACATCTCTTGTCTCCACACGGTTTGCCTCACAAATCGTGACATCGTCTGTTAGAGACAAATCTAACATATTAAAAGATACAGAGTCATTAAATTCTAAAGTACTGTAGCATCATGCAAAGAGCACATTTCACAATACAACACAAAATGCAAAAATGCAGAGAGGAAAGACTCTCTCCTGCAATCTGGTCACATGTGGTCACACACAGAGTGATGTTTGTTATAGTACCTGTAACATTAGAATCAGGCTTGTCCATGGCAGCCACTTTGTACATCCTTACTGACAGACTGAAAGCACTGGAATTCAACTCATCTTATCCACTGCATGACGTAATACATGTTGGAAATGAAGGGCTCATCACTACAACATTGGAGAAAAACCTCCGGGTTTCACCACCAGTATAGCTTTCTTTTAGTGTGTCCAGCACAGTGGATGTGATGGTATTCATGTCGGCTTGGGAGAGGTTTGTTTTGAGTTTGAGCAGAGCCGAGACATGTTCTTCACTGTTGGTGACAGAAAGAAGAAAAGGTTATTAAAAAAAAAGATGTGACCTAATGATTATGTTTATATGCTGTTTATCATTACAAAACCAGAGACTCTGAAGTAAGACTATCAGTGGAAGTACGTCAAATAATAAGTCTGAGCACTTTGTCAGTTCACTGGTGAGTTGACTTGCTTACTGTTTATGAAAATGTATGAATTCCATGAGATGCAAGCAAATAACTGTTGTTTTCTGCCAAGCTTAGTTTATATGAATATATATGCACCATGAATGATATTAACAAGGATTGATGATTGATAAATGATATTAACAATGTGAATAAGAAAAATGTCAATACAAAGGTTACAAGTTTAATTCATTTCTTTAAACTTGTAGTCCAAGACTGCAGGTCTCAAATCAAACAGCTGATTTGCTGATCTGTATTATTGAACCTGTTATGTCTTTTTCAGTTTTCTGCCCCTGACACACATCCTTCCTGCAAACACTAACAGCTGTCAGTAACGCGTCACCACACCAATTTAAAGTACTGAAAAAGTGGAGGTGGAAAATGTGTCCATTTCCAATTCAGTTCAATTACATTTTATTTATACAGCACCAAATCACAACAACAAGGCTCTATGCTGTTGTAATTAAACATTTCTGTTTGAAATACATGGTAGGTGAAACTACTATTGGTGACACTGATATGTGCCTAAATTCACATGAATCTCCCAGTTTACACAATCACAGTCAGCTGATGCAGACACGCACAAACAAACTTGATTCTAACAGAGAACATAGCCTTTATTATGGCTGAACGAGCAGTACAAAAATAAAAGTGTAAAAACTATTTGGAGATGAGGCAGCCGTAACCAAGCACAGAACATGATAGCTGCAGAAAAACACATGACGGATGGAAAGGGTCATGAGGGAAAACATGTAAACAAGAGGAGAAGACGGGAGACAAAGACATTACTGAAACACATGAAGGGCACGGGAGACATAAACACAAGAAGCGAAGACACAAGGGGAATCTAACAGAAAATAAACTAGAACTGGGCAACCTAAAATAGATGAGCTAAAGATAACTACATGAACTTAAACATAAACCATAAACATCAAAATATATTAAAATTCAAAACGCTGGGTCAAATGACCCCAGATCGTGACATACACTAGTTTTACCAAATAACTCCCCATGAAATCACACACTTCTGTGGTGCTGATACTTTCAGACACACAGTCAGTCTTTATGTGAGTGCTATCAAGAGAAGTGATTATGTCCCCTGATTCCCTTTCTCCTTTTCCTTTAAGGTTAGAAATAAGACAAGAACGAGACAGTTTGGTTTCTGGTGCCACATTTGGAAGAAATCGCTCTTTTCACTCTAATTAACAGCATTATTGACTTCATCTACACACAGCTGCTGCTGCTTCTCTCAGGCCTGCATGTTTTATTTAGCTTTCCGTTTCTCATATTAGTTTCCATGAATGTTGCTCATCCTGCTGACAAGAAACATCTGAAACCAATTAAGATGTTTGGCTCAGTCAGCTTCTTGTTTTCCCTCAGCTCTCTCTGAAAAGTACGATTGTTTATCCTGACCTAATGTCTCACAAACCTCTTATCATGATATAGTTCTGTCCTTATTGTTTATGTTACAGTTGAT